ATGGCAAAAAGAATTTATATTTTTTATTAAGAATGTGAAACACATTGTTCTTGTGGGATTGAAGGAATCAACACTGATGAGTACTCTTACAGAGATGAGAGCTATAGTGCCACACAATAGTATCAAACACCACTTTTTTATAAGTTATGAGGGAGCAGTCAATTATATTAACATTAGTGATGTTGGAGGATAGTGAGACGGAGGAGCCAATACCTTCGTTCAACTTTTATCTGAGGTGTTTCAAGATGTGTTGATTGAGAATCTATCATTTCGATTATTACTCGTGTGAAAAATTTAACATGCTATAGATCTCGACTTGAGAGCAGTGATCTTCAACAAATGAATCTATCAGATGTGACTACTGAGTATGAGTTGTAGAAGCCGACTAATAATTTAATAGCCCAGCAACTAGTTCGTGAGAGTATTATTTCATGTGTTGTACCACCTTTGGTTGTGCCTAAAAAGGATAGATAATGAAGTTTGTGCATTGATAATTTGATAATCAATAAGATCACCATAAAGTATTAGTTTTCATTTTAAAATTAGACGATTTGTTTAATCAATTAAATAGATCCAATAGCTTGTATAAGCTCAATTTACATAGTGAATACCATTTGATTTAGATCACTCCGAGAGATGAGTAAGAAATTGCCTTCAAGGCATTGGATGGATTATATGTGTATGGTTATGCCTTTTGCCTTATCAAATACTCCAAGCATCTTTACGAGACTAAAGAACTTTATTCTGTTAACCTTCAACAAAAAATTTGTGATCGTGTATTTTGAAGTCAAGTAGATATATTATGATTTAAAGGACGAACATTTGCAGAACCTGTAACAGATCTAGGGAGTTCTTCGGATAGAGTAAATGTATGATCACCAGGATAAGTTTATATTAGAAGTTGCAAACATGATTCTTTTGATATATTATTTCAGCAGCAAGCATTGAGATGAACTTGGATAAGATTAGAAATTAAATTTGAAGTTGCAAACATAATGTTATGTTATATTAAAAGCTTAGAAATGTCAACGAGAAAAAAAAAATTAACAATAAATTAAATGACTAAATCAATTAATTAGAAATTTTAACGAAATAGATGAATTTTAGATATTAATAAATGAATGATAATAATAATTGTAGGTTAGAATTAAAATGACTACATATCTAATAGAAATTAAAGTATTTTTATAGGTTCATCTAAGGACTAGCTTTACTGAGAAAAAGGCAACCGACTAACTGTACAAGTAGGTAAATATGTTTTTATTTTATAATAATTTTATTTATTTATAAAACTTATTATATATATATTTTTACTATTTCCAGCATTTTTTTTAATGCAAATTTTTTTTAAATGTTAAATAGAATAAAAGAAATAAAATACATTATATGCATGCATATGATAGCCCCTAGATAGTACTAGCAGAGAAATGCAATGTAATTGTGCATGAAAATAGAAAAGGAAATAAAAATGAAAATGATTGACTACTTTTATGATGTGTTGAAAAAGATTAAACATGTATTTTTTTTAGTCTATATTTAGAGGATGACTTCCAATAACGAAAAATACAACATAAATAAATGAAAGTAAATAAAATTATTTTTTTTACTGTTTTCTTTTTTACTTCCCACGGTTTTTTTATTGGTTATTGTATTTTTATAAACTATTTTGAAAATGATAATTATTGAAATTTAAAAATATTTGTACACCGAATCATGTAACTCGTATCTTCAGTTGCTAACATTTTACAGAAAAATCTATTATATGATGGATCATAAGGAGTACGTGTACAAACATCAAGGGGCGCAGGCCAATAGGTGTTATAGTTCCATCTTATTTTCTATTTGATGTAAAAGTTTAAATATCAACAAATATTTGCAACTGTAAGTTTTCTGAAATAGAATGACTTTTTGTGCTTTGGACTTCATTTTATTGTGAAATGAAAAAGTTGGATAATTTTCTTCCGTCCAAGTGATAGTTCCCATCTTGGTGATTCCAAACTCGCAGGCCGGGTTGTGACATCTGATACCACATGACACCAATTGGATGTGAAAGAACAAAACAATAGACCCATACATAATTGAACAACTATAGGAACTCAATGAAAATACTTGGTAATAACTAAAAACCTAGAAATAAATGAGCATTACACGACTTTATAAGGCTGCACAACCACAATAAATAGCTACCAATAAATTGTTGATGTGTGAAGAATTCTGCATCAAGAATGAGTTTTTGGGTCAAAGACAGCTACTACACACAAATTTTGGCAATTCTAACCATCATTGTGGCTTGCAGGAACCTTCCAGATTTTCATTATAATAGTAGTTTGTATATCCAAAATGTTGAAGCCTTATTACAATATATCGTCTTATTTTATCAAATATTATTTACATCTGCACATGTTCAATATTTAAAATTATACCAATAAAGGTAAGTCTATAAAAATCTCTTTTAGTTATATGAAAAAAACAAATTAATGTCCCAAGCTAGTATCATAAAAGCTGAACTCTATCAGTCAACATGCACATACAAATATTTTATATAATTCATATTTTCATATGACTCAGTATATAACAAATATATTTTATATATTATATAAAAAGTTAATCATGCTTAAAACATATTACATTCATATTGATATGACCAATATTATGATAGAACAAATGAGTCGGGATAAAATATTAAAATTGAATTAAATAGAATCTATAATTATCCATACATTTGATTTAGAAGCAAAAATGCAGCTATAAGTTAGAGGTAAAAGAATTCATCTTAATCTTTAATTTATAAATAGTTTTTCTTGATCTAGATTTTGTTCTTAAACCCGCAAATTAACTATTCCCTTGAGTTTATCTGATCGAAGAGTTAAACACCAATGAAATACAATTGTTTTAAATGTTCCTCTTCTATTTGACAAACTTTTGCTTATAATAATTCTTTCAAATCTAAAAAATTGCTTTAATTCATTATTTTATCTTGATTATATATATACATACAATAAATCATTTATTTTCACGAAATTGTTAGAAAAATAACTACCTTTTCTTTCAAAAACATATTGTAACCCGATATGATAAACTATAAACAATTCTCTATTATCTCAAATTTAAAATTATTTACAATTTAGCATTATACATTAACTTTAGAGATTAAATTATTATTTCTTCAAATGCACAATTTATCAATTAACTTAATTAATAAATTTCAGCGCCCGAGTGGTTTTTGGGTTTTTTGATTTCTATATGTACACATTTTTTATATTTTTTTGTCTGTTGTACCGTGTGGGTTGGGTGTTTAAGCCCACTCATACAAATCTATCTGTATTTTTTTCTTTAATATATATATATATATATATATATATACAAATCATTAATCATCAATTTAACTTATTAGGCTTTCATAATTTATTAAATATTGTCTATCAACAAATTTAAATTGAAAATTTCAGCTAAAATGTCTCAACTTCACTTTCCTAGACTATCTTCTGTATAATGAGTCAAATCAGTAAACCCTAACATACCATGTTATTAAAAGAAGACAAAATAAACTAAAAACTCAATTAGATTTACCCTTCACAAAGAAAGAAGAAGACAAAAACTCTAGAATATTTTCCTAGAGAGTGACAGCTTCTTAACCAACAAGCCTAAGCGTACTCTTGTGTTTGGCTGCTTGATAGGAAAACTTTGAAGGTTATGGTACAAATATCTAGTACAAGAGAAGGGCTGAGTGGATAATTAAATGACTTTGATGAAGCATATATGTGGCTTCTTAAAGCTTCAAATTAGTTGATAAGGGTCCCAAAAAAATCGATGTGGTTATTCTTGATTTAGTCAAGGATGAAAAAATTAAGCCAGATCAAACAAATCAACATAGGCCAGTTGAGTCCACTCTAATGTTTCAATTTTGATCCACTCCTTAACCTTTACATAAGATAGAGACAAGTTTAGTTATAGATTCTCAGTTCTGTTACCTAGAAAAGCCCAATTTGTTTGATGCTTCAAACTAATCACCCAAGACACCAAATTTATAGTAGGTATAATAAATTATGGCGATTACACTTTTCCTGATATTACGTAGAAAAAAGCGGACTAATTTAATTAAAAACATTTCATATGCAAAAATTATGCATGAAACTAGTGCAACCACAATAAAACAATGAACTAGTGCGCTGCAACAAATCCATAAGTTTAATTTAATCCCAACTAATATTAGATGAATAAAAGTTATGATTTCATCAGCATCAAACTACTTGTGATTGGCTTACAAGACGGTATAATTTACTGCGATGTTAAAAGGAGATTACCACCTTTCATGTCATCATTGAAATCAACACCATTAACATGTTATTCCAATCAACAAAGATCAGCTTTATAAGTTATTTTTTCCCTTTCAAAATCAGAGCAATTTCACTATTCTATCATGGCTAAATGCTCTTAAATCTTTCATGTAGGAAGCAGTTTTTCTGTGATATTCATTGAGCAAAAGAAAGCCAGAGTGCTCTTTCAAGTCAGTTATTTTGCTATACTGTCAATTCTATAGAATCTAATTTATCATAATTTGAATTAGAATGTGGCAAAAAAATAGCAATATGAGCTGAAGCGCTTCTGAACAAAGCAAATATGGAGGTTACAATTACAAAAATGGTGCATCAAGATAAATCCTTGGACAAAGCTCAATAACCGTGTATCAATTTCAACTTCCAAATGCCTGAACTCCTTGAGAAAAAAAAAAATTTGGAAGGCAAACGATAAAAAAGACAACTTGAATATTACAAGATAAGAAAATTTGAAATTTTATAACAGTTTTTCCAAAACCACTGTCAAACAGCACGTTAGTTTGTTAAGTGACATTAATTTTGGGCAATCTAACGAGAAGAGTTACCAATTACTGTGTCTTCTATGACTGAAACAAATCAACTATTCTTTTAGCTAGAAGCCATTAAAAAATGCCATTTTAGAAAATTTTAATCATTTTTCGATTGAAGAAGGTAACACTAAACCTGCTCAGGTGTCTTTTTATGTTGTTCTGCAATTTCTGCAACGACAGAGAGCTTCAGCATCGGTCCATGAACTGATCTCGACCTTCTGAATGCTATTCTAGGAGTTCCAGGCTCATCTTCTGAGCCACTATCTGAAAAACCAGGACCAACGTTCAAGCAAGAATTACTTGCAGGCACTCCCAGAGGAGTATGAGCTGAGACATGAATACAGCGCTGTTGGCAAAACTTAACAAGCTCATCCTGCTTCCAGAATGGATGCAGCTCCACCTAGCAATAATCAATTTATACTATACTAGATCAGCTACAACTATAGTAAATCAACTAAGATTAGTTAGAAGCTGGTATAGATATCTATTGAAGATAACTAGTTGATAGAAAACAGTATTTTGAGAAATATAAGCAGCTTATAACGCACAAAAGCAAACATTTAGCATAACTCAAACAATCATAACCCATCAAACTGAAATGGTTGGATGCATTTATACATGATGCATTTCCGATGATCCAACAATGTGCCATATTGCTTTTACTCAGTGGGGCCTATGCTGAAATAAGCAAAAAGCTGGAATAATGGGAGAAAATGCAAAAAAGAGATTAGGATTACACAGGTTGAGGATACAACAAAATTTTTTTGTAGGAATAAACTATTTATAGAAGATTATTTGGGGCAGCTGTTGATTATTTATAATCTGCTGATAAGCAGATTATTCTGATAATCTGATAATCTGCAAATTATCATAATCTGTAAATTATCATAATAAGCTGGCTTGCTGTTTGGGGCAGCTTATTCAGAATAGTTTATTGATAGTTATTGTTGTATAAATGACCTTTCTGTCTCTGTCTGGTGAAACTGTTTTAAACAGAACTAAAATGAGAACAAAAACATATAGCACAGAAGCATATAGTGCAGAAGAATAAAATCATCACAGATCAGTTCCAAAAGATGACATATAGTTCTCACACTCTTATGAGTATCAGAAAAAATAAAAAAAAAATGATAAAGACAAGTACATCTACAATAAGAAATATTAAAATATTCAATTTCAAACTCTGACTAAATCTGTCCTCAGCTGCACTATCAATCTGGGAAAACATTAGATTCCCCTCACTGCTGGCATAATCCCTACCAGTCAGTTCTTTAAACATTTTAGTTATTTTCTGTCAACCTTCCTTGTTGAAATAGGTGGTTGGCCTATTCCCGATCTCAATCTCGGTGATACAGAGATTGCAGAAAATATTTGTAACTTACTTATCCCACATCGCTGACGGAGCACCTTCATTTGTCTTGGCCATGGTGGAACTATATAAAGAATTGCATATGCATAAAGAAATTCATATTGTAACTCAACATGCATAAGAAAATTGTTGAAGAAATAATCGCACAAGCACAAAGCTAATTATGGACAAACTTAACAGCTGCCAAATTGCTAAGAAAATTCATATTGTAACTCCATATAGACATATTTAACACAAAAAAAATTCATATTGTAAAATCCACCCATGCAAAACCTTTTTGCTCGTGCAGATGTCCAACCCAACAAAACCATATTAAATAAATGAAGTATAAAAGCTCTATGCTAACATGCTAACATATTCTGTCATAATACCAACAGCAACAACAGTGTCCAAATAATCACATTGAGACAACTCTAGAAGATTTGCCATAGCTATGAATATCAAACCATTTTTCTACCACCAATACCGACAACAGTGTCCAAAAAACAATGCAATTTCCACAGTGTAGTATATATATATAATGACACAAAAATTATGTGATTCGGTCAAAGACCTACATCCACAGTAAGACATCGAACATGTTTTATTATGCAATTGTGTAAGGTTACATAGATATGAATCTCAAGAGAGAACACTACAACATGCTCTCAGCTAACCCAATACAATCAGTGCTCCTAATTCTTCCTCCCTTTTCTCCCTTTGGTGCTAATAAAAGTACCTCAACTAACAAATAAAAGTAGCTCAACTTAATCCAATGTCGAGCATATTCATAGATGGTAATTTAGTAAGCCCGTTTTTTCTCTTTATATTTTTTTATTTCACATCATTCAATGAAAGAGATATTCATGAAGCTATTAGAAGCTTCATCCTGTTGTTGTACCAAAAAGAAATGTTGCAATGTCGTGCCTTTTGTGGTTGAATGTTGTAGTGTTTTGGAAGGTTTCTTAGATTCAGGGACTAAGATCTAGTCTTGCTGTTTCAAATCTGATATAAACATAGTTGATGCATTCTTTGATCCTCATTTTGACAGCTATAAAAGTGTGAAAAATGATTGTAAAAATGAAAATGATGTTTTTTCCTTATTTGTCAAGCTACTCATAGAAAGCAATGCCAATGCTCAAGCTAACAAATATTATCGAAAAAGCCAAGGTACTCATAGAGCAATGCCAATGAAATCCGTTCCAATATAATATTGAAACCAATGCCAACAAAATCCCTTCCAATAGAGCAATGTCAAGCACATATAAATATGCCTCAACAATGAAAAAAGCCTCAAAATATGAACAATAAACCAAAAACAGGCACAATCTAGAAATTGGGATCCCTGTATCGGAAAAACCAAGCAGGCATAAGAAAATCTCAATTGGAATGAGTCGAGTAGGTCAAAAAAACTTCAAACCACAATGTCATTGAAAGCAATACAACAAGAATTTGAAAAACTGCCAACCATCCTGTCAACCTGTGGAAATCACAACAAGAATTGAAATAACTGCCAATCATCCTTCTCAACATTAGCATCTCATGACAAGAGTTGGATAAAATACCAACCACAATCTCCCTTAGAATTGAAATAACTGCCAACCACAATCTCTCCTACAATTTAAAAAGAACTAAGGACTCCAAAGAAGTGAACAGAAAGATCAACAATAAAACATAGGAAACTTGAAAATCAATCTCTTAAATAGAAATTAATAGTAACTCATAAACAGCTCTTAAGGCTTTCCTTGCCTGTATAAGCAGCTCATAAATTATTCCTCACGCCCAGCAAAAATACTTGCTTTTCGACTTGAAATAAAAAGAAGAAGAAGAAAATCATTGCTCTTCGGTCAAGGAGGAAAAAAGAATCATCTAACAACGACGTTCGATCGCCATTTCCAAACAAATCCAGGGAGGGAGAGGGCGAGGGAGATAAAATACCAAGCAAATAGAAATTATTCTCATGCCCAGCAAAAATCGAAACCCGATATAAGGAATGCATTCTCCACACTATCTTCATCCTATAACAAAAAAGGCTCGATAAAATACCCAGCAAACAGAAATTATTCTTCACGCCCAGCAAAAATCAAAAGGAATTCTAGGGCAACCAGAAAGAACCATTCACATTCTTCGACTAGAAATAAAAAAAAAAGAAAAAGAAAATCATTGCTCTTAGGTCAAGAAAGAAAAAAAATCATGTAACAGCGACGTTCAGATGCCATTTCCTAACAAATCCAGATAGGGATAAAGCGAGGGAGATACACGAGAAAGAAGCATTGACGATGAGGGAAAGCATACTTTACGAATCAGAAAGAAAAATCGAAAGGAAGAAGTTTCAATCTATTCTAGGGTGACGAATCCAGGGAAGGAGAGGGCGAGGGAGATCAGGGGTATCTTAGGGCAATGCTTGTCGCTGAACGTGGGACACGCGTCTTTACTCGTGTCAAAGACCCTTAAGGAATTCCTGGACGCGGAGGCAGCGCGACACGAATAATTTGCGCAAACGCATGTTCCAAACAGTGCGGCGGCCCAATAAGCTGCCCCAAACGGGCACTTAAGTGATGCTATCAGGGATTGGACTAAATATGTAGAATATATTATATAGAAGATCTAAGATATAGATATAGTAAATAACTTTCAGAAATAAAGTAAATAAAATGTGTTAGGACATGCGAAATATTCAAATTTAGAATCATGTTAAATAGGCAAAAAATATTTTGGTATAAAAACGTCAAGTTGTTGACGCTCAACCATAAGGTAAGGTCTTTGTTTTCAAAGTAGTTTGAGCAATAGTTTATATGACCATAATTTGATTCATATTTAGCACACACACCATAATGAGAAGTATTAGAGCAAATGGTTTGGCTAGGATCGATCGAGTTGCTCGTAAGATTTGTGGCTCATATAGAACTCGGTTGCCTTCTACAACGGTTGAGAAAATTTTAAGGGCACAATACCCCCACGACAGATACATGTAAATAAGCAAGCTCTAATTGTATGATATTTAAGGAGCTTCATTTAAGAGGAATAAATGATCAAAATGTAGACCTCACATGTGAAAGATCTAAATTTAGTCCCACAAAAGATATTTGAAATATGTTGGCGTGACAATACAGAACAATTGACCCACGCCTCTGGGCTTAATATTTTGGGTTGAAAATAAGTTTGACCCCCAATGCATATGCATCTCACACAACTATTTTTACCATTTAGTTCAGAGAAGTTTATTTAGGATACTAATGAAAATATTAACAGAGATTTGTATCGCAACAATGAGTGACATATTGAAAATGAATTATATGAGAAATACATATTTTCAATTCAAAAATATCCGAAAAACACACCCAAGGTATAGAACGTTCAGCTAGTAAGTGGTTAAAGGGAGGGGGCATAATAGGGATTAGTAAAAGAGTATAGGCCATCCTTATTCATGGCATGAACTCCTATTTATAAGAATAGGTCATAGTTGTTACAAAATTACAAGTTAGCCCCCTCATTATTAGGTTTGAAGGGGGACATTTTAGTAATTACAAGAGTAAAATAAGGCTGACAAACATATTTGGTCCATGAGAAGTCTGCCGACTGCTCGCTACTCCTTAACTCCATTAGTGCATGGTCCGGGACTAAGTAACTTTTTGATTGGCTTTGAAGTTGATCGTCATTCTATAGGAACTTCCTCGCCACAATCTTCCGGTC